TGTTCCACATGCTGAGTGCAAATCTCCACACTGGTTTCAGGCTAATGAACGCCTGTCTTGCTTTTCCGATTCTGACTTTGACAGCCTCATCTGTGCCACCTGTAGTTGAAACAGTGCTTCCTAGATAGGTGAAGGAGGTTACTTCCTTTAAGTTTCTCCCTTTGATGGTGATTAGAGCTCGTTGTTGTTGTTGTTGTTGGTGTTGGTTGGGTATCTTCATCACCTCTGTATTCTCTACTTTCACTTGAAGTCATGTCTTCGCTGCCCTGCTTCTTCTGCCAACTTGTTAGTTTTGCCTGTAGATCTTCAAGTTTGTGTGACATTAGACACAAGTCATCGGCGAAATCCAGATCTTCTAGGTTCTTTTCCCTAGTCCAGCTAGCGTATCCCCCTCTTCTCGCTCCCCACTGTTTGCTGCATGATCCAGTCGACCACAATCAGGAATATCATGGGGGATAGTAGGCAACCTTGTTTCACTTCTGTCTTCACTTCAAAAGCATCACTGAGCTTCCCATTGTGAATTACTTGGCTGGCATGTGGCGTCTTCATATAGTTGTTGAATGAAGCTGATAAAGGTTTACGGTATTCCGTAGTAGTGAAGCAGTTTCCAAATTACCTCTCGGTGGACGCTGTCAAAGACCTTCTCAAAGTCGATGAAGTTGAGGTAGAGAGTTGACTGCCATTCTATGCTCTGTTCTATGATGATGCGAAGCGTTGCAATTCGATCGGCACATGATTTGTACTTCCTGAAGCCAGCCAGCCTGTTCGGATCGTAGTTTTGAATCCAGTGCATCCTTTAGCCTCTCCAGGATGATGCGGCTTAATATTTTGCTTGGGGTGGACAGGAGCGTGATTCCACCCCAGTTCTTGCAAACACTGAGGTCTCCCTTCTTCGGCAGTTTGACAAGGTAACCCTTCTTCTAATCACTAGCCAGTTACCTTATCTTCCTTCCACACCTTCTGCAATAGTGGTGTGAACATGTCCACTGTTGTCTCTGAGTCTGTTTTCAGTGCTTCTGGCGGAATCCCATCTGGTCCTGCTGCTTTCCCACATTTCAGTAGCCTTATGGCGTTCAGGACTTCCATTTTTGTTGGAGAATTTATGTTCACTTGTAGTTCAGCGGCTGTAGGTGGTATTTCCGGACGAAGTGCAAGTGGTGGTCGATTCAAGAGCTTTTTTTTTGAAGTGGTCTGCCCATCGTTTCCTTTGTTTCTCTTCTTTCGTAATTAAATTTCCTTCATCATCTTTTATTGGTTTCATATGTGTTGATCTCTTCCATAACAGATAGTAACCTGGTTATTTGATGCAATGTTGTCAGGTCTCTATCTCTCCTACCTGCAGCCTGTTCTGCTTCACTTGCCAGTGTGTCGTAGAAGTGTCTTTTGTCTTTGCGCGCACTCTTCTTCACTTCTTTGTCCAGTGTATTATATGTTGTGTCCAGTTCCTCTTGTCGTTGAGCATCCTTGCACTGGTTTATCTTCTGCTTCACCGTCCTCCTCTGCTCTATCGGCTTCCATGTATCCGTCGAGATCCATTCCTTGTCTTCTTTCTTACCTATAAAAATGGCTTATCTTATTTTTTTTTTACTGTATCTGTAATTCACCGTTTTACTTCTAAGGCCAATCGCATCCTATTCCCTCTATTCATTTTAGCTGGTGTCTTCCCTATGATTTTCTTCGTGCACAACGCTAGCTGTTTTATGATCACATTCATACACATGTAACTGATGAATCTGAAGAGACAGTGCTGAAAATATGTTCACTAAAACAACTATTTTATTGAGTGTATGATGAGAATCCTGATTTACAACCCATTCCGTAAAATGTGTGGCCAATATTTTTCAGCATTAAAATAAATTCATCATTAGGCAAAACTAACGACATACATTTTAAACTAGGAACAAATGCTTTTATATAGTTCGTTGACTTTACTGCTTACACTACTTATTTATTAGTAGTAGCTATAATATCACAGTTAAATTCCTGAGTTCATTAGGACGACCATAGTAATACTTCGAGGAAGATACGGATACATTTTGGGCATTATGTAAACCAAGTTGAAAGAATAAGTCATATATATATATATATATATATATATATATATATATATATATATGTATGAGTATCTGTTAATAAGTAGGTCTATTATTAGTATTCAGTTCTTTAGTCACCTATGAAATTTTTTATTCACATTTACATAATCCATGTAGTCTTCCAGTCAATTTTCACACGTCTACTTGGAGGTGCTCACAAAACCTTCACGTTACAAAGTCTTAATCTTCTTGTTTTTAACATGTTGTGTGTATGTCACTGTGTATTCCATCATGGTATATCTAATCAAGTATGTGAAGTATTCAGTCGAGGAGTTCTACCTCGATTTATGAATCCATCAAATCCTGCTTTCGATGCTTATTTGCTTATTTTCAACAAAATGTCCCTCAAAAGTCCTATGGGTTAGGAGGTTTACTAGATAGTATACTGACGTCAGTGAATTGTAGCCTAGCTTGTTGTATGGTTTGAATTCTATCTAACTACAATGACATATAAGATAATTTTTTTTCCAGAAGTACAGGAAAGATTTCGTATGATCCAAATGTCTCACAATTCACATAAGAGTTATTATATTGTCAACCCTTTTATTTGACGGCTTATTATTTAAGTCATATTACTGTCTTCGTTTCTCGTAGTATGTCGTGAAAGATGTCTTCTCATGATATTCCCATGATTTGTAGTATCTTCGTCTACTACATATCTTCACTCATGTCTTATTTTAACGCGTGGTTTATGTTGAATACTTTTACCGCACCACAGTCGATATTTTTACCTTTCCTGACTTTGACAGGACTAGGTAATCTAAAGTTACTGTAGCGGGACATCTTGAGCATTTTATTATTGATACTTTTTCTTTTCAAAAGTAGCTTGACAGTTGTGTTATACTCCATGTTCAGGTAAGGGAAGCTTTTAGCTGAGGCCAATACTGGTGGTGTTATAATATTAGTGCTATTTGTCTCTCCGTTTAGCCGAAATTTCTGGAACCTCAAAGTTCTCTATCAATATCACATGGAGTTATTCTGTATCTCGCAGTGAAGAAATACCCATAATTCACACCTACGAAGATTTCGTAGCTTACATATCACTTCCTAAAGTCATAATAAAGGAGAAATTCTGAAAATTTCTAGGGAGATCTCCTCCACCCTTCCCCCACCAATACTCTTACAGTAACTAGAGTGCTGGTATTTGCAGAGTATTTCCAACTAATTTTCATCAAAAGTAAATTCAGATACAGGCTTCTGTTAATCTTGCAAAAGTAATTTTCATCTCAGCATGTGCCATGTAGATGACGATTAATGGGTTTTAGATTTAGAAACCATCCCCCTGCAATTTGGGTAACCAAGTAATAGTATCAAACTCATGGCCTTGTGCAAAAACCTGCACTTATTGCCAAGTTGCATTTTTTGTCATTACAACAGAAGATTTTATAGTCTGTACCTAACTTATGAATTACTTTGAGTTCCCATTCTGTGAGTGTCTAGGGATGAAACACAGTTAATATATGATAGACAACCTCCTAAATAGTGTTTATGCAATTCCTCCCAATGTCTATTTCACTTAAGATAATTTCTCATATGGTTGAATAACTATGAACAGATATACATATGGCTTTTGAATTATCCATATAATTGGTGGGTGGTGGCTAGCAGTGGAATTCAGGACTTGCTTTTCGTCCTACTTGGTACTCATCAGATGTACGTACGTGGCCTTCAGTGAGCGAGGCAGGTACATAGGCAATATCGAGGCATCCGCGTAGGCCAATAGAGACCGATCAATTTGATCCAGTCTGCAATGGTGTAATACAAGCGAGAACACTTTTGCATTATCGATAAGAATAACTCATGACCCTGCCATGCAGAAATATTCTCTTATTATTGGATATTTTGCGTAATTTGCATACAGACTCAGTAAACTGTTTCATATTCCGACTGTTAGAAAGTACTATCCTTTTACACTCATTATTACATGGAAATTTTGTGCATGGTAACTACGTTTTATATTAGGTATATCATTTTGATGAAACATAAAAAATAGCTTCATACAATACAGCAGTGGATCCTTAGTGGTTAATGTTTATGTTTTTCTTCTGTTCCAGATAAAATTCCACTGGATATTTGAATCACTTTCAGTGGGTTTTCTCTTCCTTGGTTTTATTGCGATTTACACTAACAAGCTTCTAAATGGTAAACCCCATTTCATCACATGGCATGGCTTACTAGGCTTACTTACAATGATCTATTGCATTTTTCAACTTCTTATTGGTTTTATTTTTCACTGGAATTATAATCTTTGGAAAAATTTGTTGACGTATAGTACAGGACGGTTTCTGCATGCTGTATCCGGTAGTATACTCTATTGTCTTATATCCCTTACTTTCATACTTGGCTTCTATACAAACTGGTTCAAGTCAAGTACACTTTTAATTTTGATTCAAACCACGGTTTCTTTGTGTATTTATGCATATTTGTAATTTGCCTTAGTGTTTTTAGCGTCTGTTGGCAAGTTGTAGTAAAGTACAACAAATTTTTGCAATCAAAGTTGTCTACCGCTGGAATGTTAGTGCAGAAATAAGTTACTTTACATCTTTGCTTGCATTCAACGTCTTTTTCTTATTACTCATATTATTTATATTTCTGATCTGTGTATTGCAACCATGTATGTAACCTCAATGTGCCTTACAAGTGATTTCTTCGTATTGCTTATTTTTTTCTTAAAATTCAGTATTTCTTTAAAAAAACATTTATTTTTGCTTTTTTATAACATGCCGAATAAATATTAGCGCAATGCATCACTTACAATGAATTCAATTTGATTTGTGGAGTGAAATTGTATTCATAGTAAACTAATAATGTAAAGGAATAAGATATTATGTGTAATAGTTAGATTATTCGTAGCAGATAGTAAAATCAAGCATTTCGTACCAGATTAAAAGGTTGAGGTGCGAGTTGTTAGACATTGTCAAACAAGTCTTTTGATCGCGATTCCACTGCTTCCCTAAAAGTAAAAAGGAGAAATGCTTAAAAGTGTTATTGTTTGTAAAAACTCAGCTACTCCGGCAACTTTGTTTAGTGCCATTTTTAACCTTAAGTTTGGTGGTGATTTACGGATGATAGCTTTTAAATATGAATTTCTATTTCTAGTAATTTATACTCATATCTCAATGGTAGTCATCTAAGTTTTCTTTATGATCAAAAACGGTGCCATGATCAAGTTTGACCCTAGTCTCCCTGCTATCCTAGTTTACGGGAGAAGCTGTTTCCAGTGATAAAAATAATAAGGCTACCGTTGTATTGTGCATAGTTGCACTGTAGTGGGAGTCAGGGCTTAGAATAGCACTGCTTACTGCGCTGGAGTGTGTCAGTGGTCAGTCGTTCTCACTGAATAACTAGGGATTCTTCATTCTCATTTTTATGAGGCCAGGCTGCGATTTTTCGTCTTCGATATTAGGTTTTACCTTCCTTTAACTTTTCTACTTGTCATGTTTAGGTTCAATAAAGAAACGGCTGAAAAAGGATTAGGTTTAACTCCTCTAAGAAGGATACATGTAAGCGTATTCTTGGCTTTGTGATCATGTAGTGCAACTAATTTACACATTTTTACCTCAACTTGACAACTTCCACTGTATGTTAGCAACTAAGACGTACCACTTGCCATCCTAGTGGAGCTTCAATCATTATCATCTCTCATACTCTTTGTCACTACTGCTAACGTCATTATTTCTGAGTGTTACTGACTCTACCACTAAAACGTCTCCTCAAATTCCGGTTTCTTGGCATAGTTCTATTCATAAAACTACATTCACACCGTGATGAAACCATATCTTAACCTGTATATTGGAGGTGTAGTTTTAACTGAATTGTCTTTGGTTAGTTATAACTAACTGTGTGACTGGTGTTAATAATGGGTTTTATTGAGACTATATGAGTACAGAAATATTCCTAGCTGTCGACTGGAATAAGCGATTCAGATTAAATTGGACCAAAAATAATCAGTAGATTGTTTTTAGAGCCCTGATACGAGAAATGACCATTAGTAAAAGCCAATTCTATTTTTATCAAGAAAATTAACTAATGCTTTTTCTGGAGCGTTAACTTGATTCCCAGTGTCTGAGGAGTAGTTGTAAACACAGCTTCGTAACTCATCTTTACGCATTTCGTTATCAAGTATTAAGATTGCTTTGAGATGAAACCCTGCTAACTGTTAGAGAGAGTACATCATCTGTGTTCGTCATATTCATCCAATGGTGAAGACACCAATCTAAACGTATAGACTAGTGAAGATCAGTAGGATAAAGCAGCCTACGTACTTGAATACTTATTACTGCAAGCTCTAAGTACAATGAAGAGTGGAACAGCATTGAAGGCTAATTTACTAAAGATGCATACAATGATATTAGTCAACTAGCCGTGAGTGATGCTAGCCAACTTTGTACAGAAGGTAGCATCTGCAGGTATTATTCGCCAGTTATCCTGATTCTTTTCAAACATGCAGAGTTTAATTAGAATAGCATCATAGCATCCAATTACAAAGGTAAGGAGAAGTATTCCGTTTTAACCTATTTTTATCACCATTTAATTGTAATGTGGATCAATAGCAGCACCCACTCATGTTTTTGACAAAGTTGTGACTAAACATTGGGATGGAATGGCATGATGACTTACTTCAATAGCTTTTTAAAATGTGATTCTTTGGTAATGGTAACTATCAGTGTTTGTTCCCGTTTCCAAAGAAGAACAAAAGCACTCATGATAATCTCCTAAGAATTATATTGGCAAATATACATTCTGAAATCATGAGACATGACATTAAACTGCAGTTAGAAATTAGTAAGTTTTTTAGAACTAAGAGGCTTTCAAACTTATTCCAAGACAAACTGATTTTATTCATAACTTTGAAGCAAATATTATAGGACCAATTATATCTTGATGTGGCAATTTTACTTGTCTACAGGTGAAACAAGTCTTCAAAAGGATATCATGTTTTTGAAGACTCTTTAGTTGAATTCACAGCTGATGGGGTACATATCCAGAGTTGTTATTAGAGCAGGAGAGGATGAACGACCTCCATATTCGATAGTTACTTTCACCAGTTTTGATTAACTGTCTTTTTCACCTACCTGAGGAGTCGTATCAACTGACATGTATTGTCTGATGAGATATTAACCTGGTCATTTGACATTTATAATCAAAGCTATTGTTCGGAGCATAATTTACCGCAGTATTGCATTTTACTATGATCTGCAGGATGTAAGAAATCAGTTAACAAATACCTATATAGCTACTCATGAGTTAAGTTGCTTGAAGCTAATGGTGAACGTTCTTCTAAATTTCTGTGTTGGCATGTTACTTTCCATACATTTTACTACTTACATCCAGATGTTTGATCTGGTTATTACTTTGGTAAAGTTCAACTTTTTAGGTGAGTGTGAGCAGTTAAGTGATGTCAGATCATTTACTGTATTGTGCACACTAGTAAAGCCGATATTTACTGAACACTGACGGGTGTTAAAATATACAAAAATGTTAACTTTGACTCAAAATTAAACAAAACAGACTATTAGGTGAGCCTTACTGTGCAAATCTCTGTGGACCAGACACTAAGTAATATGCTTTAATGTAAAAAGAATTCCACTGTAATTTTTGCCCCCTTTTTATGCATCGTGGCCTATGTTCCTTTCAAAAACACAGAACTTTTTTCTTTTGTTCAAAACTGCAGTATCCTCAAGGCAAAGCGTATGATATTTTAATATATTTAAGGTTCAGTACTCAATTCTTCGTAATTCAGCACACACCTTTAAAAGGCACTTTAAATGTTATTCCTAATGTAAAAAAATCTTGCTGATTACTAATTCAGATTACTTAACGTGTACCAAAAGAATTATTGCTGTTTTATTATTGTTTTGTTACCGACATGTGATTTCACGTAACCAAGCTACAAGTCCATACAACTTTGAGTCATATGCGAAAATAAGTGTGCATCAATTTTGAAATACTCCGGTGAAAATTTGAGAAAGACAACAGTTAAACGATTCATTCAAAAGGACAGTATTCTCACTTTATGTTTAGTAGTTTGTCACTGGTGACTTAATGTTTCCAGTACTTCTCTGAAGTCTATGAATGATACAGTCAAAAGCACTGTGTGAAGGAAGTCTTCAGGTTAACTGATTGACAAAATCAACATAGTAACTCGCACACATGTACATCGGCTGAAGTTGACGCACATCACAGTAGTATACAAAGAACAGGTGGATAAAAAAGGAGTGATATAAAAATAGATAACGTAGTGTGAGAGGATAAACAGTTTAAATATAATGGTTAGTGCGAATATTCAAGCTTTAGAAGATGTTAGGGAGTGAATATATCCCCACCACAGTGACCGGATTTCATCCGTGTCACCAAGAGTCCTCATTCGCTGATTCCTTTCATCTCGGGAACCCAGACCAGATAGTCTACATCTCCCCAAATGGCTCAGACCAACAGAGAAGAACTTCATGGACTATTTCCACGTCTTCGTCTAGACATCATTAACCCATATCAATATGATGATTCAGGTGAACTCGTGTATGTAAGGAGCTGAATCATGGTGTATCCAAATTCTCACATTCGTTAACCTGGAATTCTACTCATCTTAGTGACGATAGAGTGTAAACTACTATGACCGGTCATTAGTAAACATAATAATTTCGGAGCTGAATGTATTCCTTTGATAAAAACATATGATATATTCAATGAGTTAAACCACAATTCTATGTGTATTTAGTGTTCAACGGTTAGGTGAAAGCTGATTTAAGCATGGATTTTCTCAAACCTCACTTCAATAATCCTATTCAAAACTTGATGGTCTCCTAGACCATACTGTGGGTTAAGTACGAATAAAAAAGTTGATTGAGGTTGCTGATTATCATTATCCTGCTTCACCACGACTGTAAAACATTTTCTACTTACCTGTATTTTTCTATAATATACGCAAGGCCATCACTTATACTCGTTGAGAATTGTACTCGTGACTGTAAAGCAATATTTATTATTTGTTTGGTTGTAAGTTTGCGTCTTAGTAGATTTCCAGCAATTGTATATAACTGAAATAAAGCAGGAAAATCACGAACCAAATGTTTTATTCTATAATTTAACGATTAACCTGCATGAGAAATATTTAGTATGCTTAGCGTTTATAGGTTTCTTTTGGCTTTACCACTACTATCATCATACCATTTATTGAATAGTAGGCTGAAAAGCATCTATGTGCAGATAACTTATCTGTCAGCAAACACACTTCTGTGTGAAGCATTTGATTCCAAATCATTTCAGTAATCACTACTATCTGATACCTATTTAGAAACCAGTCACATTTTTACGTATTGATACTTGTAATTGCCAATTCTTATAATGGCTGGAACTGTTCTACCTCTGTTGGCACATAGGCTCCTATTAGGATGCCTTGATATTTTCTGAATATTCAGTGTGTTATAATTTGCATGATGGTGGCTAGCGGTAAAATCCAGGACGAGCATTCCGTCCTCTTTGGGGCTCTTCAGGTAAATCTACCTGCACACCAGCTAGTAATGATCTTTCCAAGGATCTTCGACCACTGAACATAAATATAGCCAATCTACACATTCGATCTCAACTTACCAACTGTGTGTTCACATAAATTTAACTTGGATAGCCTTGTGTTCAAACTACCACACTCTGCTTCAAAAAAGATAGAATACTGCCATTTCAGGAGTGAAAATTACCTCAGACTGTCAATAGTGAAAAGAAGCAACCTGTTTTCAGTTGGAAATTTGATTTTTTTACTTAGCAAAATGTGGTCTTCTTATTTTCATTTTACTTGACTCAACTTCTGTTAGGATTTGAACTCCTTAAACCCTTACCATGATGTTGCCTTGAAATTTTTTAAAATATTATTTGTTTGATTCTCATCACCCATGTGACCTAGTGAATAATGATTTAGTCGGTAAAATGATGGCTACTGAGTATAATTTGCTTGAGAATTAGTTTATTGTTATTAAAGGCAGTTACAATTGATAATAGTAAGATGTTCTTTTGGAAATGGGACGTATATAGGGAAAAACGATGCAGTATATAGGAACTGTGCAAAATAAAATTCTAATGATTGTCTAGAAGATACCACCAAGTAAAAAGTAAGTTGCGCTTAGGCTTCATCTAGACAGACAAGTGAATGGCACAACTCCTGAATTTCAAACTAAAAAGTGAATTTACTTCTTGAAGAATTATCCCATCACTAACCGCTAGTACACCATTATTTTGCTTAATTTCCAAGTTACTTAGAAATGTAATTCAATACTGCTTAAAAGTCTTCACTTAGTGAGGTATAATAATTCCATAATACAGTGCAAAACTTTTCGATGTACATCTATTTGTAGTCGTCAGTTGGTGTTAAACAACAGTAAATTAGCGTATACATCCTCCTCTATAAATCAGCTTTAAGTGAGTCGTAAGAGTGAAATATTAAAACTATGAGTAGATTGACTAAGGCGAATAAAATTGATTTCTAACTTGAAGTGAATTTTCTTGAAAAATTATGATTTAGTATTGTCTCGTTTTGTCACTGATTCTGTTAAAACATTGCCACCTATTTTCTGCTGTGCTTAAAAGAGAAACATGGTTTAGTAATCAACTTATACTTGAAGATAAAAGTTAGTCAATCTATAGGTTACAAAAAATAATAATAGAAAAAATAGGACCGAAAAGTATTGACAAGATTTGATACACCATGCATAAAATTGTACTACACTACGATTACTTAGCATATGTTGATTTATGCATTCAACTCCAGGTCAGAAAGGCAAGGAGTCTTAGTCTTTGCGTCCGAGGAATAGATGAGCCCTCGTATAGATTAATCATGGAACAGTGTTCGTTATGAGGATTTCCATGCGCCCATCAAACATCCTGGTGAGTAAATTAACTCATTGTACTACAAACTTCATTCAGTTTATCATATCCTTGTTGTTGGTATTATTACATATGACTATTTTTTTGTCGTTATCATTGTTAGCTTTGTCTTTGTATACCTTTATTTCACTGAGTTGCTTCTCATTGTTCGAAATTCGGAAAAGGAATTAAACAGGCATACTGATCAAGAAACGTCAGACTTTCTGTCTTGTCCCCATTGGGCGGTTTCCTCTCTTCTAGCTAAAAAGGTGAAGGTCTAAAAATAACTGGCACCAATATGATATCCATAGCAGTCGTTCATGACAGAATGCCGTTGGCTGCTTTGAATCAGTGAGGCGTGATTATAGTCACAGAGTTGATTGTATCGTTTCAGAAGGCGTGGTAAACTGATAGTGCCCGTGATTCTGGAATAATATCAATACTGCTGTGTCTTGAAATAGGGAGAACCTAATCCCTGTGACAGTTGTAAGGGTGTCGGTCTGCTACCAGTTGAATCTGAACTATTGACTGCCACCATGAACTCATGGGCTGTGCTTAACATGTGGAAATCTGGTTCTTCCGGAGCAAACCATTTTTCATCCGGAGCGTGGCTGTCTTGTTCCTGTGTTCACCCCCTTAAAAATGCCAGAACACTATAACACGTATCTCAGGCCAACAGTTCTTGTATTTCCCGATATTATGATTGCTACGCTTCATTAGTGTTATCCGGCAGAAAAAAATGTCACTGATAATCTTTTTAACGGTGCGATACTGCCATGTGACAAGACTTCAGGTGGAATGAAGCCACATAATAACCGTCCTTCACTGTTAAAAACTAGCACAGTGGTTATGTAAGGTTGTCTGACTTCATTATTCTTCTTCAAGTGTGCTATTATTGGCATTTTGAGGACAGCTGTTTAGCAGTTGGATGATGGTGGTGTGGGTATGCTACCGGGTGAATGACTTTCCAACCCAGCGTGAATATGTACAAGCTGTTTCCATGCGATTTACTGAGTTTGCAATTGGTGTACGTAGGCGTGGTATGTGGTTCTATTTTATCGACAAGAGGTTGTCCGTGCACTCATATTTGTTGATGGTAAGGAAGCTTGTCTTTTTGAGAGAAATGTGTGATTATTGTAGGCCTCTAATGGTCTAGACATGCCCGTTTCATAACTGAACAGCTATATGAACGAAGGATACCCATCCCAAAATATATAATCAGACTCCAAGTTTATAAAATGGATTCATTCTTTTTTCACTCCTACTTTCCTTAAATACGTATCAGTCACATAAACACCGCTAAACGCTTACATTTCATATTTGTAGAACCTTATGAGAATTTGTAGGAAAAAACACTCTTCTTTCACATTGTCTTTCAGTGATGTGAGTACTGGTGCAGGTATTACTGGTGATACTGCTAACAGTAAATTAAAAGCCAAAGTGGCATGCACCAGTGTGCATCACTTTTGGTGTTTCACGACATTGTCTTGGCTGTACAAATTTAGGGTATAATACGTCGGTGTCGGTAGTTCTGCTCTACATCTGGAAAACATGATGTCTCTAAATTTAGGGTGTACGGTGACTGTGTGTTTTAATACCGCTTCCACCTCAGAGGTATTCACCTCCAGTGGGAATATGATGCAAGTAATTCAAAGTTTGAACAACCAAAGTCAGATCAGGTTGTGGTCGTGATCACCACTTATTGATTGATATCATGTAGAAACATTGCCTTGAAAATGTGTTATGAACGTTGTCCGCTATCACTGTCATATTGTTCCTTTTTTTCTAACACTGAGACTGGATGGAATAAGTGGAGGGTTGATCAGTGTGTAAGATGGCGCATTAGAAGGAAGAATAGAACTGTTTAGAATGGCTTCTGTTGGTACCCCACAACTCATAGGATGAGGCTGGCCGAGGATATCTTACAACTCAGCAGCATAAAGTAACATTGAATGGCTCACAACAAACAACAGTTTCGACGATGCTCAGCCTTCATATTTCTTGTGTTATCAGAAAGTACAATGTAAGCAGTGAGTGCTTTATTGAGTTGGCTTTTCTAAGAACTCATTTTTGCTCTTCCTTCTCTTCTTCCCATAGCTGTCCTTCCATGTATGCATGTCACTTTTATATCGTCAAACTATTTTGATGTCATACTTTTTTGTGATCCATTTCTTGTTTCCTACGCTGTACCACGTGTTTTTTTAATGGTTCATACAACGATAATACACATATGTGCCAAAAGCAAGTATCATTAAATGTCTTTACTTCGTAGAAGTATTTATGTTTTGACGAACAGGAAACTATTAGTTTACTGATGTATATATCGTAAAATTATTGTTTCAGGGTATTCATTTACTATATCCAACTCGGTGTTTTCTTAAAATGCTTTGCGTTTCAATAAACAAAATGAACGATAGATTGCGCCCTGAAGAAGCCATGTGCATGTTTAAGATTTACGTCATTTTGTTAAAACCACATATATGCTATCCGGGTTGCAGGAAATACTGACTGATTTATCAACTTTTCAGTGCTCATTCAGACTTCATAGTTGACTATGCAAGGTGTAACACGTGGTTGCTTGACTTCAAGTGTAATCATTTCACAAGGAAGTTATAAGGTCTAGAAGATATATTAACCGGTGATTATTTGAATTCACAACTTACCAACCAAAACTGTTCAATTTCGTCCTCAAACTTTCATCCATGACAGATTTAAGTGAAGAGGTAAGTGTGAGATTGTAGATTGGTGCCAGTTGCATAATTCCGAGTACCAGTAACTTGATAAGTTTAATCTTATAGTTAATAAGGCTAAAAATAGTGAACTTCGACTATGATCCAAAACCTTCTCATCCGTAATTTTGCATCAACTGTTGATGAAACAAAGTGTCATCTAAGTTTGAAACCTGTCAAAAGTGTGTTCAGTGACCCCTGGCCTTTGTGTTTTGTTATCCGATAACCTTCTTGGATGAAAACTATTGTTTTGGGCTATCATGATCATATCTTTTGAATTAGCATCAAAATTATCAGTATTGCAGTAATTCTTCGGTTATACATGAAGCCATTCCACCTCACTGGATTGGATTTCCTTACATGTTATCTTCCACTAATGCCGTTCTTTTTAAAAAGCTGAAATTGACAGTGATATGGTGTACAGAAAGACTGACAAAATCTTCATAAGAGGCCAT